CACGAACCGCACCGAGGGGCTCGACAAGCCGAGCTGATTCAGCCATCAGCTAATAGATTTGTCCAGGATGCAACAAACCGACAGAGAAGCCGTTGGCTTCACGTGATGATGACAAATAGGGCCAATTTTGCTCCAGCAAACGTTGCAACCAGGTTTCCAAGGCTGTGCTGTCCAGCATGGGTGCCCGTTGGCAGGACCCGGTACTCACGCAGCACAGCTCCTCTGGCTCTCCCGTCGGTACCGAGACGGCACCTGTCCCAAAGCCGTGTCACTGCTCACCTTTGCCCATCCTCACTTTTTATTTGTGTATCTTTATGAGGAAGGACTCACCGGATCTGAACATAAGACTCCAGGTAGCCAACATCAAATTTGCTTAATGTAAGTCTTTAGAGTAAAATGGACAAAGCACAATGCAGATAATTAAATAAACATCCAGACACTAATGGGAAAGGTATCTTATCACCATAACTGTTACGATAGTTAACGCTTAATGCAAAAAGATTTGCTTCCTTTGCTGGAGCAGTTTTACACCCAGACATTTGAGATATATTAGCACCCGTTGGGCCCAAACAGTGTCCTCCGTGCTGTCTAGACATAAAAATGGGCCCAGTCGTGCAGAGCAGAAACAACAGTAATAGCTGTTAATGCACCCAGTGCAGTCAGTCAGCTCAGGATGACTCGCCCAGGGCACTGGGGCAGAGGCTGACACTTAAACCAGACAAATGTTTGGGATGTTAAAGGCTTATGATGATGTGAGCGCGCCCTGAAGATGAGGTCCTGAACAGGCTGCACAAGCAAATGCGAGGCAACTGTCTGTCCTATCGAGGTGGACAGAACAAGAGCAGTAGAGGTATCTCTGCTGCAGAGAGTCAGAAAAACGTTAATTTTGGTACCAAGGTAAAAATTGATGAAGCAATTCAGTAAGTTATTTGCAAGAGAGAAAACAGCTGCACTGGATGCAATGCATAAGGACAGTACCAGCAGTGGTAAGGGGGCTGCAGCAGAAGCAGGTGTAAAGCAAAAGCATTTTAAGGTAACGATTAAGTTACAAGCAGAGCGGGATGTGAAATCAAAGTGTTAGGATGGACATGCTGGCACAACAGTGATGGGAGCACCACTGCAAACAAGCAGATGGCAGAGGCCCAGTGAAACCAGAGAGCTGCCAGCATATCCTGGGTGCCAGTTGTGCCCTGACACAAGACGCTGGCAGAGAGAGGCAGGAGGAACTGGAGCAAGGTGACAGAGAAAGCCTTGGTCAGGGATTGACGGGCTGCTGTGATGCACCTGGGCTCTGCACAGGTGTCCTCAGAAGAAAATAAAAGTTTCTGAAAACTTGTGCTGTGAAATCAGGCTGGGCTGGTAGATCCTTATCTACAGAATGCTTAAAAGAAGCACTGGGCACAAATGTTCCAGTACCCAAACAACTTAGAGCATGTTTCCAATAATGCTAACAAGCCCGGGATTTTCTTTTTACCCCTCAGCGGGTGAGCCCGGGATGCCAGCTCCTGCCGCCAGTGACTTCTGCAGCGACAGCAGCAGATGAGCTCTCTGGAACCAGATGCTGTGAGCAGAAGTGCCCAGGAAATGAACCGCTTTGCAACAAGAAATGATCCCTCTGCTCTTCGAGCAGTACGCTCGCTCTTGCTTCACCGCGGACAGGCCAGCGTGGCTCCCCAGCTCCACGAGCTGACGGGGAGCAGCTTCAGGCACTTCTTAGGGACAGTAAAACAAGTGCATGGAAGCACGTTAAGATCCCTTACTGGTGACCAAAAATCCATGCAAGTCCTTCCTTCCCTCAACTCGGGATAACAGCAATCCGTTCCTGTCAGCTCAGTTACTTAAATAGGCTTTTTACTGCTTTTGTTTGCTTTGTACAGGACAGGAGTCTGTGTTGTTAAACTGCGTCTCATTAACCACCTCCTCGCCAGTGCGTCCCTGTAACACCCGCCTGTCCCCTCCGTGCAGCTCTCCCCACCAGGCTACACCGTTTGGCATCACAGGCGAGGCAGCCCTCGCACCCAAAACTCCACAGTGGGACACGTGTAAAGGAAAATAACCACTCGTGCCCAGATGCGTGCCCAGACCGACCTCGCCGAGTCCGACACTTGCCAACATTTCCCTCCCCTCGCGAGAGCCCTCCTGCCTTCCTCCGCTGTTGGCCGCCGCGCACCGGTCACGCAGACGGGACCAGAGTACTGTACCTGGCTCGGAGACAATCAGGCTCTGGTCGGGAGGCAGCAGGAGGAATTCCCTGCAAGTGTCCAGGTCCAGGCCAGGCAGGCTTTTCTTCTGGCACAGCTCGGTGACAATGCCAACTGCCTTCTGACAGCGGCTGGCATCCTTGGTGCCGCTCATCGCCCACACTGCATCCTCCGCTGTCCCCTCTGCTGTCTAAGAAGGCCAAACTAGGACAAGAGGGTTTGCTTGTGTTTAATCACACCAAGCTTCGCACCAGTTCCACCCCCTGGCATGGCAGCACCCTGAGGACACCCGGTGCCAGCGATGCTCCAGCCCTACAAACGCTCCTCGGCGTTCCGACGGCGGAGCCGGGGTCAGCCTGCGGAGCCGCAGTCCTGCCAGTGTTCCCGGAGCCTTATTGCCTCTGAGATCAGATATCTGGTTACTGCCAAGGCGTGTTCCAGACAAAGAACCTCCTACCAAATTCAGTTTGTGCCCTCCATAGACGTCGTTAAAGCTGCAGCCCAGATAATTCTTTTTAACCCTTTCATCGCTGCCCCCTTCTCTGTTCTCCAGGTGCAGACTTTCAAATCCCAGTCCCAGCACAATTCTGCAAAAAAAGTCAATGCTGAAATCTTCTGGCTGAGGATGGCACATCCTCAGACCGGAGAAACGAGAGTGCTCCCACAGACACTGCACACACTGCTTACAGCTGCCAAAAGCAACATAAGAAAAGCAGCAGGTTTTATTGATTTGTTTGTGCTGGTCCTAACACAACAGGCTGCAGATGGCAACAGAGATTGAGAATGCCATTATATTTCATAATTAGATTTTAAAAAAAAAATAAAATTCTGCAGTATTTTTTTATTCCTATTGTAATTTAGCAGACAGGTCATGCCACATGACAGTGCTGCACTTTTGAACAGGGAATATATTTGACAGGCATGGGAAAAGAAGCAATTGTATAATAGGCAATTAAAATCATGTGCAACAGAAAGATTTCTTGCAGCTTCTGGAGCAGAGAAGACAGTACAAATACAACGAGCATGCTGGAGAGCCAGGGCTAGAGCTACACAGGTCCCTCAGCCCCACAGCACAACAGAGGATGTTTAGATTTATGCCAATGTGGGGTTTTTTGTCTGTTCAGTACTTGCTGAAGATAAAAAACCAACCACCAAACAACCAAACCCTTAGAAAAAGGTTAACGCCCAATTGAGACCTTGTAACACAGAAATCAATAACAAAATTAAATTATTTGGAAAATGCTAATTTTATTCCAAAGGCAATACCAAGAACTTTTTACTTTTAAATCTAAAGTCACCTTGGGTCGATTATTCACCTTCATTTAGGTGTCAGAGGACTCCAGCCTTGCTGAGTGACAATAACAGGACACCCTGGTGTTGGTGTCCATAGTCTCAACAAACAGTTCTTCAGAACACAAAACCAGACTTTTTTTGCACCTTGTAACTTTGAATTTATGTCACATGCACTGTTGATTGTGCAACATAGAAGGCTGGAAGACAGCCGGAGAGCAGCTGCCATGTCTGGCACTCCAAGCACAGCTTTTCCCAGGCAGGGCCCCTCTCTCCTGCTGCTCCTCGGCCACGCACACATGCACACACGCAGACATGCACACACACACACACTGACATACACAGTTTTGCCTCTCATCTCCCACCGGGCAGCCCCACTTTGCCACCAGGAGCTGCAGAGGGAAAGCTCTGGAGGAGCCAGACCCCTGTCCCCTGGCGCTGCAGCTCCCACCACCCTCCAGCTCCCCCCACAGCTGCCCACTCCTGGCCACAGACCCCATGGTCAGGGGGCACGAGCCCGGAGCCGACGCACAGTGCGGCTCCCGGGCTGCTGCAGAGCATCTTTTCGCCGATCTCCTCCGACCGAGCTCCTGCTTAGAGCCCAAACGACCCCCCAAGCCGCGTTTGCACCCTCCGACGTGAAGAGCGGAGGCACGTGCCCCCGCACCGCCGGGGGCCCGGGCAGAGCTGATGGGCCCTGCAGGGGTGCCACAGCGTTGCATCGCCCATCGCGCCCCGGCGCTCCGGCCCGGCAGGCTTTCCCTGCAGCTGCCTCCACGCGGCACCCAGCACAGTGTGGGGCGCGCCCCTCACCCAGTAGCGGTCACCTCCTCCCTGTCCAGCGCCCAGTTTACACCTGGAGAGGCAGAACGAAGGGCGACGTGGAAAAGGCTGCAGCTGCAGCCCGTCCAGAAGGGCTGAGGTTGGGCAAACGCTGGGGAAAAGCGGCTCAGCAGCCCCGGATGGCACAGAGAGACGTGGCACACGCGGCGGCGCAGCCCTGGAGGTACCGCCTGCAGCCGAGGGCACGACATGAACGGAAGCGCTGGCTGCGGTGTGCCCCGGTCGGAGGGCTGTGCGTGCCGCTCCGTAACCCAGACCGAGAGCCGCAAAATCCGTAAAAAGCCCAGAGGGAGCACATGGAGAAAGGATGCGACTTCCCCTTCAGTAAAGCAGAAGACAAACACCAAAGACAACATCACCACTAACATCTGAGGAGCTGGGAAGTTTTGTTCCGCGCCGCAATCGGATTAAAGAGAACACGTTCAATACGTGTCTGATTGTGGCTATTTACGTTTGGAGCCCGGCCACGGCTACCTGCACCTACGACTTTTTGTTTTCTGTTCAACATATCTGGTCACACTTAGGGGACGCGTGTTACTACGGTGGAATCACAAATATATTTGTCCAGTTGAGATAGAACATGATATTAATTTAATTTGTATAAGGACATATTTGAAGTTGGTTTTTATTTTTAACAATAATCAAGTCTGGAGAGGGAGCAGCAGCATTTATTTAAGCCAGTTCTAACTAATAGTATGATATTGTTTACTCTCTCAGCTAACATGACAATTGGAAACAGCTCAGAAATTATTCGGAGCCTCTTGCCAGGGAAAACGGCACTGATCTGGAGCCTTTGGCAACATCAATGTGCCATCTGTGTATAAACAATGTATTGCTGTGCACCTTCACACGCTGCTCTGAAGCGCAGATCTGTGCACGCAGAGAGCAAAACCGACATCCTCACCCCAGTGCTACGTGCACGGAGCGGAGGAGATGACCCTGCTCTGCTTGGCATCATGGAGACAGAGCTTTAAGAATTAGTTTTAACCAATACTAGTAACAGCAACAGAGCTCGAACTAACTCTATTAAAAAATATTTAAACAAGCTCTGCACTAAGTATTAAATCTGTACCCGACTGTGTGCGGTGCAGAGCTGCCAGACCGCAGCAGCCTCCTGCCTCTGCCCCGGGGAGCACGCGGAGCAGCCAGATCGTGGCATTTCAGCTGGTAAGAGAGCAGCACAAAAAGCAGCACCTCCCATGGGGACAGGGTAGTCAGGCTGAGCTGCGTTTTACCCAGAGCAATGATTTACGCTTTTCTGCATAAAAAGCAGAGATTGCTCCTCTGTTCATCTCCAGCAGAAACGTTCACCAATGCAAAGGTCTCCAAGACCCTGGTCCCTCACCTTGCTTAGCAATAAAACTTGCCAAGGCTCCGTTTACTGGGCAAAGCCATACAGAAACACGAGGGGAATGCTGGTTCCCCACTCGTGTGTACCCAGTCTCTCCTGGCTGCACAGTGACTGCTCATTCCCTGGACAAGCTTTCTTGGGAGCAGTTATTCAATCCTAAACACGCCTCTCCTTGAATAATCTGGCAACACAAGGAAGAGGGAAGGAAAAATAATCCTGAATGTGTAGCCTAAAGTGACAGTCCCCGGGCTGCACTGCAAACACACTCTGAGCTGTGAAGTTTAAAGATAAACAATTAATTCACTTCCTCAGCACAGACGTGACGAACCTCCCTGGCAAAAAGGGCCACCGCGGCAAAGGGTGAGCAGCACCTGCTGCAAGCGCCTGTCCTAACACGTCGGAGAGGTGGTGCTGTGCAGTGCTAGTTTAATTGTTTTCAAGGCAAGAAAACGTGGCTCAGTGTCCTGAAAACCACTGACTTCAAGGGGCATTGCAGCTCATTGCACAAAAAAATGGACACTGAAGACAGACTTCTTTGGAGCTGAGTGCAGCCAGGGAAGCAGCTTTCTGGGGGAAGGACTACCATTGAAAATTGTGATGGGACTTCTGAAATATATTTTATTGACCTGGAATTTTGCATATCCTCAAGGTGAACAGTCATGGTATGATTTGACAGGACTGGAAGCTCTAAAAAGCCATTTCTACGTCAGCAGCATCAGATGGCTGAGAGACATCAGATGAGATGATGGTATCGCAGGGATGTGGCTGTGAGTACTGCAGCTATCAGCCATGTCCAAAAGCCATTAGCTAAATAGCTTGAGGAACTCTGACCTTCCATTCTCCAAGCATCTGCCTTGAACACAAGGCACAGTTTCAATAAAATTAACGAAGTGAGAGCCCAGGGCCCACACTGGGGCAGCTGTCTGAGGACCTGACATCTCGGCTGCATCCAAGCCAAGAGGGCTGAGCAAGGCACAAGCCTGGTGGGCACCGTCCCTGTGACACACGCTGCCGCAACGGCCCATCGGCCCTATGTCAGTTGGACAAATTAGGGTTATTTAGGACCTAAATTTTAGGAAGATTATGGCAGCAAATCCTGTTACCCAAACATGGTACCGCCCCACAGGAGTGAGCATCAGGCTGGGATTAGACCTTTTCCTCAACCTGATTTATAAAGTGAGTCACTGTCTCCCCCCAGGTCAAAAGCATGTTTCTGTCATCGTACAAAACCCTAAAACGTGGTTGTGGTCTGGTACACAGCTATTAGAAGGATTAAGCTGACCTTTGCGTAAATGTTAACACATCCTTTGAGAAGAGGTTAGAAACTGCTGCTTTTAGGGTCTCATTTCAACCCTCTGTGCTGCGGACATTATTACCAGTATCACTGCATAATTTGTTTCAAAAAGACTGCACTTTCCTCGAAGGCCAAAGAAATGCTGGTGTCAGAACCCAGAAGAGAGATTAACATTTGTCTTCAGTAATAAAGTGCTACAGATTCCCAAGAAGCCTTTGCTCTCATGCACTCCTCAGCCACTGCAATTTAGGAAAGCAGATGGTGGCCCTTTTTCAGCATAATTGCAGTAGTCTCCAGGACTTCCCTGGTGGCATTAAGTGTTTCCAGAGCAGAAGAGGGTTTGGTCGGTGATTTCCATCAGCCTCCAGAGAGCACC